TTCCATCCTCTTTCCCCCTCCTCAAACCCAAAACCAGCTGCCTCTGGCGATTCTGCAACAACTCCTGAGCATGTGCTCAAGTGTTTTTGCAGCAATTGCCTGAGTGTGTTGAATAAGATCCCGGAGCTTCGGCAGCTTGCTGTGGATAAGGAGCCTCAGATCATAGCCCTCACAGAAACCTGGCTCACCCCTGACATACTTGATGCCGAAATATCCATTCCGGGATACTTCACAGTAAGGCAGGACTCCAGTAGAGGTCGTGCCGGCGGGGTCATCATATACTACGATGATTCGATCCCTCCTCCCACCTTACTGACTACACCAACCTTTTCATGTATTGATTGTTTGTGGGCCGTGTTTAACCTCTCTAGGACAGATACCCTATTGCTTGGTGTTGTCTACCGTCCTCTCGCATGCAATTCAACTGACAGCCTAGGTCTCATAGACTTATTAGGCTCCCTGAAAAGCTATACAGACTTCACCCATCTGTTAGTCACTGGTGACTTCAACTCTCCCAGTACAAACTGGCAAAGAGCTGATGCCCCGGATATCACTTTCGGTAAACCCCTCCTTGATCTCGTACTGAAAAACTCATGGGTGCAGAACGTAAGAGATCCGACTAGATATCGCACAGGCCAAGCCCCGTCCCTACTAGACCTGGTCATCACCAATGATCGGTTCCTAATAGATGTGGTGCATTACTTGCCGCCCCTCGGCAAAAGTGATCACATTCTCATTGGATTCGATTATATCGTGAAATGGCCTCCTCTTCCGTCAGAAACTAAAATTTTGAGATCCCTCAAAAGGACCAACTTTGACCAAGTCTGTGCATTTTTTCGCTCCCAGCTAAATTTAACTAACCCAGGTAACTCTGCGGATGAAATGGCAGAGCATCTCAGAGAGTTAATCTCCTTAGCTGATAGGCATTTTGTCCCCAGAATTCGTCGCCCACAGACCGCTAAGCGAACCCTCCCTCGCCCCATTAGGCGCATTCTAGACGAACGCGCACGCCTCTTTGCTAGATTTAAAGCCACAGGCCTTGTCCGTGATGCAGAAGATTTCAGGATCATAAGGAACATATGCAAAGACAAGATTAGGTCCTATCAGAATGCAGTCCAGCGATCTGTACTTGATCGAGCACGGACCAATAAGGCATTTTTCTTTCAGTACATGCGCCGTCTAAGGGGCACAGCTCCGACGCCATTAGCTCTCAAAGATAATGCCGGATCTCCAATCACTTCCCCTAGCCAAGTAGCCGAGGCATTCAGCTCCTACTTCCGTACAATTTTTAGCTCCATTCCCATATCATCCCACCCTACTATGCACCCGTTATCTCTGACCACTACCCTTAACCGCGTAACTATTCCCATTGGTGCAGACGCTCAAGGTTTCCGACGGCTCAACCAATATTGCTCTATGGGTCCTGATCTAATCCACCCCCGTATTCTCAAGGAAGCCGCGGATACATTAGCTGCTCCTTATGCCTCGCTTTTTCAGCAATGTGTTGACGACGGAGTTTTCCCCCGTAACTGGAAAAAGCAGTGATCGCACCCATCTATAAGAAAGGTAGTAGACACCTTGCTTCTAGTTACAGACCCATAAGCCTCACTAGCATCCCTAGCAAAATTTTTGAGGGAATTCTTAAGAGTGAGATTCTTTCCCATCTTCATAGAAATAAGATCCTCTCCCCGTCCCAACATGGGTTTCTTCCTGGCAGGTCATGCATCACCAATATGCTTACTGTCATGGATAGTCTAACGAAAGCCTATGATGATGGCCAGCTCTCGCACGCTGTATTCATCGATTTTGCTAAGGCCTCCGATAAGGTCCCACATGCCCCTCTTCTTTATAAGCTGCAGACGTACGGGATCACAGGCTCCATGTTGGCCATCCTACGTAGCTTCCTTACCGACCGCACCTTTGTGGTTAAAGTCGGGAATGTTTTGTCTCAACCCTCCCCAGTAACAACTGGGGTCCCCCAAGGGTCAGTCTTAGGTCCTCTTCTTTTTCTGATCTATATAAACGATCTACCGACAGCCCTTCCTGCGAACATTGCCATGTACGCAGATGACGTAACCCTCTGGAGTTCAAGCGTTGAAGACCTGCAAATTGCAGTTTACGAAACAAAACGCTGGTCCGAGGATTGGAACCTCCCAGTTAATGACGACAAATGCGTGAGCATGTCTTTCGGCAGAGAGACTGGTCACACGTTTTCCATTAATGGTGCAGCCACTCTGCCAAGGGTTGACCGACACAAGGTGATCGGTTTCTGGTTAGATTGTAACTTATCCTTCTCTCATCATCACAAACTTGCGAGCAAGTCTGCCTTTCGAGTCCTAAACATGATTCGAAGGTCCTTCCCGCGCATATTTAAGGATGATTTCCCCATAATTTTCGGCACTTATATCCGACCTCTGCTGGAGTACGGTAGTCAGATAGTGCACTCTGGTCTTGTCCGAGACCGTGAGATCCTAGAAAGAGTTCAGCGGGCCTCCACCAAGGCAGTAAGTGGTCTATCCCATCTACCTTATCCCGTCCGCCTCTCACTCCTCAACCTCTATCCCCTTGACGTAAGACGCGTAAGAGGTGATCTGTTTTTGATGTTTCACCTTTTTGAAACACGTCAAAACGATTGCTTCTTCTCCGTCTGTCCAGCCTCCTCTCTCCGTGGTCACAGCAGAAAAGTTTTCAAACCGAGGCCACGCACTTCACTAAGGATTAACTTTTTTAGCTATAGGGTTGTTACTATGTGGAATGCACTTCCGGAAGATATTGTTCTCTCGCAGGACAAGACTATCTTCGAGAAAAAGCTAGACCTCTACTTGGGTCTCTCCCAATAATTCCCTTTGTCAAAAAAAACAAACAAGATAGTTGTCTTTTATCGCATATATGTTCACGAATGCCGCACCCCCACTCAGCTTAAGGCACTGTCCACAGTGTGACACTGAATGAGGTTATATGTATCTTGTTTTCGCTGCCACCCCCGCCCCCCCCCCCGCTTCTTTTTGCTCTCGTTTCAGCTCGGTGAATCCGACAGAAGATCAAAGATTTCCTAAAGAACCGGGACAATTGGGCTCAAAGCCCCGAACCCGTGTAGTACTTCAAGACTTCAAGACTTCAAGACAACTGAACTGAAACCTGTTGACTGCCCGTGAAAGTTGGTCGAACTCCAAGGCCGAGGGATATGTCACGGACGTCATCTTCGTGGACTTTAGTAAGGCGTTTGACAAAGTTCCTCACAATGGGCTGTTGCTGAAACTCCGGGCCATGGGCATCTCAGGGCCCATGCTTCACTGGATTGAGGATTTCTTGGTCGGGAGAACCTTTTCCGTGAGAGTTGCACAGTCCCAGTCCGCGTGGTATCCAGTTAGCAGTGGCGTGCCGCAAGGCTCCGTGCTAGGACCCCTGTTGTTTCTAGTGTTTGTAAACGACCTACCACAGACCATTCGATCCCAATGCCTTATCTACGCCGATGATCTCAAGATCTGGCGCACCATTCGATCGGCAGAAGATCGCGAGATACTACAGGAGGATCTGCAGGCCCTCGTCAATTGGTCGACCACCTGGGGTCTACCGATAAACGTGGACAAGTGCGCGAGCATGAGGATTGGTGGCCCCAACGATACTTCCGGCTACTGCCTTGGGAGTATCGTACTCCGTCACACGCAGGAGGAAAAGGATCTCGGAGTTCTTGTCACCAGCAATCTGAAGACAAGAGCACACACTGAGAGAGCGTGCGCCTCAGCGTGGAAGATACTTGGTCCCATTCGCCGTTCATTTGGGCCTCTACCCCGGGACACTTTCCGACTGCTTTATGTCTCACATGTACGCCCTCATTTGGAATATGGCGGTCCGGCTGTCTACCCGTGCACGGCGGCGGAAGTAGCCAAACTGGAACGGGTGCAACGTGCTGCCACACGCCTCGTGGCCGGACTGCGTGGGTTCAGCCATGAGGAACGCCTAAAAGTCACCAAGTTGTTTCCCATTGCCTATCGACGGCTTCGAGGCGACCTCATCTATGCCAGGCGCATAATCCGCGGTGAGTTGGGCCGGGAACTACAGGCGGAATTTCAGCTCAGGAATAATAATCGTACCAGAGGACACACCCTGACGCTTCGTAAGGTGCATTCCACCGGCTTACCGGCCATCTATCGATTGTCAAGGAGGGTGACCAATCTCTGGAACGCTCTACCGACCGAAGTGGTGGAAGAGGAAACCGAGACACTATTCAAGAGGAAATTGGACCAGACCCTGAAGGTTTATAGGCGGAGCACCGACATCCAGCCGAGTCAGTAGAGTACGATGTGATGGGGCTCATACGGGATGACTTCCCACTGCCCTTTACCTGAAGACTGAAGACTGAAAGTGCCCCTGTCAGCTTCGTAGTAGATTCCTAAGTGATCGTATGCATGTGAAAACATACTTATGTGTCCATAATGAAATTAGTTCAATAAGAGAGATTTAAATCTCTGATGGGGCTCAAGTCGGGTTGTGGTTGGGATCTGATTGAGCTACGGTTGGGATTCGGTTGGGTTATGGTTGGGATTCTACCGGGTTTGCAAAAGTGGACTTGATGTACGTTTTCAGTAACTTTGACGGCCAATATCAGGTATGAATCCATTTCATGCTTAATTCGCTGTCGACAGAAGGTTACCACGAAATTCTGCAGTGTGAATCTAATTACCTGCAAGAATCCACTTCCGAACAGTCTGACGTGACAACGCCTATGACCATGTTCGGTACAAGATACACCACCCGGAAAAGATAAATTACTAGGGTTAGTTTACTCTTTCCAGACAGCCTATCACGTTCACCAGCGACTCCGAGGACAGACTGTGAAACCAACCCTAAGAGGAAATTCCTGGTGCCATTAACGGTTCCACCATCACCGGAAATGTCTCGGCGCAACTCAAAAGGCGGGGTTTGTCAAACGAATAAATTGATCATTCCTTCCACTTAGACCGTCTTCCACACCGCATCCGGCTATGCGATGGTTACAAATGTTGAGTTCTCATTTTATCCAAGTACCTCGGGATCCACGGACCATTTTTGGTACGCCTCGCACATGCGAATCACTTGTCATTCCCGGTAGTTTTTATGTGCATTTAGGCTTACATGCAGCAATACTCCGTGAAGCTGTTCATATTGATCCCATTCCTACCTGCATCTCCATTCAGCTACATTTCGATGGCATGGGTTGCTTCATGGACTCCACAAAACATCTGTGGCCCATTATCGGTCTGTTAATAAAATATTGCTAAAATTACAGCACCGGAACTCCTTTATTCAGTGGCTTATGTTTACCACTTAGTGTGAAGGCTATACGGAAGCCGGAGCAGAGGTGTCTAAGTAAAAAGGGTCCTATCGCGTTCCATCGACAAGTGTTTTTTATGTGGTATTTAGGTGGTATTATTAGTTCAGTTCAGTTCAGTTTGCAAAGGACTTGGTGTGGCTAGAGCCAATCGTGTGTCCAGATAGTTGTGCTGTCGGCGCGTTTCCGTGGCTACCAACACTGCGTAATTTTCTTTTTCTGAAAGGCAGAAATTTTGTGCAGTATCAGCCCTGGCAGAGTAAGGGGGAAACAATAAGTAAATTGCATCTGACCCTTAAAGCTGCTTAACATAACTCGGGGTATACTGCCACCCAACATAGGTCTGCTGCTTTCTTAAAAGCCTTCACGGTTGTGGTATTTATGACCTCTTCCGGGAGCTTATTCCAATAGGGCACCACTCTATTTGAGAAGTACTTCGCCCTAATTTGGAGCCTCGAATGCTTCCTTTGTAATCTAAGGCTATGCCCCCTTGTACCTCTCTCGGGGATCAGAGAGAAAAGGTCTTCTCGTCTTATTCCTGACAGTCCCTTCATTACCTTGAAGGTTTCTATCAAATCCCCGCGAATGCGCCGTCTTTCCATCGAGAATAGGTCTAGGGCACGGAGACGCTCTGTGTAGTTAAGCCCCCTTTGCCCCGCCACCATTCTAGTGGCTAGCCCTTGCATTTTCTCCAGACAGTCGATATCTTAAGTGGTACTTAAGTGGTATTTAAGCGATATCATCGGGGTCACTGAGCACCTAAAAACCCCTTTTTTAAAGTGATAAAAACATGTTTTTACCACGTTTTGTGCTGGCTGGGATAGTAGTCAGTTTAATAGGCTCATAGGTAGCCGATACGCATGTCGGTGAATCGTACTGCCAAATGACCTGAAGTACAACTTATGCTGAATTATTCTGTAGCTGAAGATTATTCCACGCACTCAATAATCCCCTCGTATACGTGCACTTTGTTAGTCACGAAACCGTTTTTGGACAGTGAAGGTAGTTAATTACATGGCGCACCCTGGTCAGTGGGATGCACACGGCGTCCCGCACCCTTAAATCGCCTGCGGCCAACCTGTTTATATAGGTTTGTATACGTTTGCAAATTAAAACAAAAACCGCCACAGAACTGAGGACACCATTTTTACTTTTTGCATATAACATTTCATCGGGTCTAACCGTTTTCTGCAATTTGCACGCTGAACGTCATTCTGATGAACATTAAGGTTGGACCTTCAAGGTAATGAAAGGACTGTCAGGAATAAGACGAGAAGACCTTTTCTCTCTGATCCCCGAGAGAGGTACAAGGGGGCATAGCCTTAGATTACAAAGGAAGCATTCGAGGCTCCAAATTAGGGCGAAGTGCTTCTCAAATAGAGTGGTACCCAATTGGAATAAGCTCCCGGAAGAGGTCATAAATACCACAACCGTGAAGGCTTTTAAGAAAGCAGCAGACCTATGTTTGGTGGCAGTATACCCCGAGTTATGTTAAGCAGCTTTAAGGGTCAGATGCAATTTACTTATTGTTTCCCCCTTACTCTGCCAGGGCTGATACTGCACAAAATGTTTGCCTTTCAGAAAAAGAAAATCACGCAGTGTTGGGAGCTACGGAAACGCGCCGACAACACAACTATCTGGACACACGATTGGCTCTAGCCACACCAAGTCCTTTGCAAACTGAACTGAACTGAACTATCAAGCCAAGCCAGTTCGGAGCTCACTCCACTCTTAGTGGTGAGCGTTTTCTGTGCGCACATTGAAATGAGCGATGTGAAGATACGCCGTGGTAGACTAAATACTTTCTTTTCATTTTGTGTAATATTCAAGTTTTTGCTAATAGTTCTTTGGTTCTATTTCAGCTGTAAGATCCCATTCCAAACTGATTCAAGCCCATAAACGGCCATCTCGACTACTTCATTCATGTCGCCTGTGCGTATCTGTGGGTAATTTTCCATCACAATTTAATCAATTTGGATATGAAGTGTATAATTCGATCTGGTCGTTTCGACGTCGACCCTCACTCCCCAGACGCATCGGACAACTGTACTCATTGGAAGAAATCCTTGGATAACTTTGTCGCTTTTGTTGATCCACTCTGCGTTGAGAACCTCGTTACCCTGACGGCAATAGTGAATTTGGTTTCTAGGATAATTTCACACGACACAAATCACGAAGCACCATTGCAGTAAAGCAACTGCAGAAAGAACATCCGACACGGTCAACATATTGCCTAACTCACTGTATTACATTGTTTTGCTCTAGCAATCGAAGTGTGCTGCGCCACCAAGAAATTTTTTTATTACTCCAACTTTTGCTTGACGCTCTCAAATGTTGTTCTGTCGAAGATTTGCGAGGCTGGTTCGAGTCCCTCAGTGTTATTCTTCTTCGAAGCTGTTACTAAAGCTAGTTGAGGTTGGACCACGGGATGGTTTGCAAAATGAAATCTCTATTATACCGACGGAAATCAAGGTGTCCCTGATAAACCAGTAGGTCCCTGATGCGTACACACTCAGTGGTTCTTCAACGACTTTCCTTTTTTAGATTGACTGAGGCTGGCTTGCAATTCGTTGAAGTGTCCAGTTTTGTAAACCCAAAGTGGGTACCGCAGCTGGCCGATGCACTTCAAGTATTCAGACAGATTAAACGTTGTAGTCTAACACGATATTCAGCTCTGGTTCCGAATATTCAGGGTTTTATGGATGCGCTCGAGGCGAAGCCCGATGAGGTAGCCGTCTTCACGGCTGCCTCTGAAACTTTTGCAAAACGAAACATTAATTGTTCCATTGATGAAAGTATAAAACGTTTTGATGAGGTAAGATTTCTCCTTTTTTACACTGCTATTTCTCCTTGTGGGTATCACGTCTTCCGAACTAAGAGCGAGTTTGCGGAGTTTATGAAGTCCCGTAAACGTCACGGGGCAGTGTGAACAGTGTGAGGATGATGGACCGCATTTATATTTGCGGACTTTTGTATGCGGTCTGCAGGCATTTCAGTCATTACACCCAACAAATAAGAAAAATGAACAAGATGTCAAAAATGGCGAGGTATATGGGTAAATACCTGTAGGTGAGTTCTAACCGGAGTGTGCTTCAATAAGTGAGAGGGTAGGAAAGAACTAAGTTGATTATAAAGTTTTGTTAATAACTCAGCTTTTATCTTCTCTCTATCGGCAAAACCCGAACAAGATAGGGGATGGGGAGTTTTGTAGAGATTTATTCTTGATAAAAGGTGCCGGAAAACGGGTCGGGTGGCTGAACTGGTGCGAAAAGATAATGTCTCTATGTAACGCATGAGTGGGGTCCTGAAGTGTCTCATGGATTAGGGTTAGACAAGATTAAATATGCTGATTAGATTAGGATCAAATCTTATCAACTCTACTTCCAATACTTGTCAGCTGTGCACAGTGATTGAGTGTTGATATGAGCCTGTCGCCCGATCATCATAGCTTCAGGTGAAATACCCGTGGCCCTGAAGGATTTTCAAGTATTTCGTGGTGTAGTTGGTTCATACGTCAAATCAGCATATTTAGCAACAACTTAGAATGACGGTACTGTCCTGGGACATAGTTTCTAGCGTCTACCTAAGTCAAAAATATCCATCGTTTCTTAATTTTTCTGCAAAATAGAGTACCATTTATTTCGTTTGATTAGGGATGATGACAGTTCTGCCCAGAAAGTGGATTACTAGTTATCCTTGAGAAAAATCTGTAAAAAACGATTCGTTTTAACATTCTTGCAACCACAGGCGAGGCATATAATATAATAAGATGTGATCTGGACCCATGGGTGTAAACTAGAGTGGGTGACAGTAATCCACTAATCATAACCGGTGGAAATAATGGCAATATGATTGATCTGAGTCCGTTGCAAGAAAAGCAAAAGATACTTCTTTATACGGAAGTGATTCACCCACCAAACACTGAATGGCAGTTCATTTCAGTTCATACAACCACTATGAGGGAATGCGTCCAGCTCGTTGCTAATAGACGGCCGGGTTCAATGAAGCAGAAAGCACGTGATCTGCTGGCCAGAATCGTCGACAAGATCAGAGCCAGTCAGGCGATCAATGGATCATTCAGCGGTTAACATTTGACCAAAGCCAAATCAACCAATCCGGGCGCAGCCAGATGGACGGTTTAGGTTTATCAGTAGACCAATGAGCTTTTATGCACGGTTTTGTTTGTGACGAGCTCATATTTTATGTAAACAATGTATTCTGTATCAATAAAGCGGATTTAATTTTGAAGCAGAACTGAATTCTCGCTGAAACTAGTGGGACGAAAAAAACACTAACCTCGCAGTTTTATGTTCTGCTTTCGGTTGCTACCTTACAGTATCGTTCAATAAACCGCAGAAAGAATAGAAGCATCAAGTGAAAAGTATCCGAATGCCTCAGTATGGCCGGGGCCTGGTGTCTTAGGCTCCGAGATGGCTACTCGTTCTGAACGTAGACTATGCCGAGGAAGTCCTACTAACCGGCTTCTCGTGGTGGAGATGTTCCCACTTAAGTGAGAGGACGGATGCGAATGCCCGGCACTGTCCACCGGGTTGGCTGACTCATAGTCAGTCTAGGGGAGATAGTTGAACCCGAATTCCAAACCAACCATAGATGGCGAAAGGCGTACAACGGTATGCTCACCGGCATCTGTGGCGAATGTTTGACCTCATCCGAGAGACGTATGAACTGAGCATTCAGCCACCGGTCTTCAGTGTGTTATGGACCCTACGTTTCGTCTCGCTGCCTTGCGGGTTAGGCTTTAGATAGCTAGAGGCTCCGGTTGTGTACCCCTAATAAAACCACCTGCTTTGGCTTGGGCAATTTGGCAGTATTGCGCCAACAAGCAAATCATGGACTCGGACTATCCTTACGGATTGTACCATGTTTTGTTTGGCACAGTTTGAAATCAGGCGGGTGTGGTTATATATATATATATATATATATATATATATATATATATATATATATATATATATATATATATACATAATGTGAAATGAAAATATCCAAAAGTCCTCGTGATAACCGAAAATCAGCTAGACAAAGAAAGAGTCCGAGTACAACTACGCCACTGACCGCGATACTCAGCCGTATCTGAGTGTTTCCAGCCGTTGGGTAGGTGGACTACGTAGACCCCAGCCCGGAAGTCTAACATTTTCCACTTGCTTAAGTCTACTGGCCAAGGTTTTCATGTCGTGCACTGACCACCACGCACTCGGAGAACAGCGTACGCCGAGGAAGTCTATCAGTGGGCATATGTAACGCATATCCCATCCACCTTGATCTGTTTAGATTCAGTACTCGATCCACAGACTGTCCGGTTCCCAACACCTTACACCTGACCTCAGCGTTGCTGATACGGTGTTCCCACCATGTTCAAGCAATGCTACGGAGACATCTGTGCTCGGACACCAACAGTCTTCGTCCACCTTTTACCCTTAGCGGCCGCGTTTCTGAGCCGTGTGGAAGAACAGACCTAACCGCCGCATTGTACATTCGACCCCTGACAAACAACTGGATGTCACGCCGACGCCACAACTGAATGGGGTAGGCAAAAGCCAAAAGCGTCTTCTGTATTTGCGATAATACTTTGTCCGATATCTGTTCACCTGGTGAAGTGTAACTTCCCAGATAAAACTTACCCACTTCAGCCAGAGCTTTCACTGCCAACACAACGTTTGGCATAGCGCCAACCCAGTCCTGCAGCAGCATTTTACACTTTGAAGGTGCAAAACGCAGCCCAAACGTCGCTACTTTGTTGCTTAGGCTACCTAAGAAAGCTTGCAACTTACCTGGATCTTCATTCAGAAGAGCAATATCGTCCATGTTTTCCAGCTCAAACGGTTTACTGCCTGAGCGGAGATGGACGCTACTATTTTCACACGAGGACAGGGCTATCTCAAGAATCAATTACAAAATTGAGGAGAAAAGGCGAAAGAGGGCAACCCTGACGAACATCACTCTCCGTAGTGAACTCGAGTAAACGATCGCCGCAATCGCGAACTCGGCCTCGGCTGTTTTGATACAAGCATTGGAAAACAAAAATAAATATCTCTGGCACGCCCTTGAGTAGGAGCCAGCGCCAAGAAAGGTGCACGCTCCCGCTGTTTACTTGCCCCTTATACTTCTCTTAATTTTGTTTCTGATTCGTTTATACTGCGAGCGAAAGCACTAAATTGTGAGCGTAATCATAGTAAGGCTAATCTGTGTGATTGGTTGCTGTCGCCTCGTGTTAATATAGTACAAGTTGCAAAACCATATCTGAAAAGCCTATTATTCATACAATTACCTGTTGTTCCATTTTCACTATTGATTTGGATGTTCGTTTATTATCTAAGTTTACGTTTCGGTTATATTTGTCGTAATTCTGCCCGCAGGTTTTGCATTTAGCTAAAAGCCAGGCAATCCCCGTTCGGGGTTATGTGTCGTGTGCTCTGGGTTGTCCATATGAGGGGTCCGTTTCTCCGGATGAGGTCGCCCGAGTTGCAGAGCTATTGTGGAATATCGGATGCTATGAAATATCTCTGGGTGACACTGTTGGAAGAGGCACTCCTGAGAGGTGAGCTCCTTTGTCTTGATTGAGCTTCAGACTTCATTTTAGATGAAATACTTGGCATAGCATTTTTCATTGTCAGTCAACGAGCCAATCATGAGAAAATCAATGCATGACTTCGTGAGATGCGATTTGTAGTTTCACATGAAACCGTTGAGTGCACAACTGTATTCTGACTTGGGAGTTTGTTCGTTTCGATTCAGTTTTGGCCGGGACTCCCTTTACTTTATTTTATCACACTCATATCATACGATGGTTATTCATTGTCCTATGGTGACAACCTACTAGATACGTTGTGGTTTGGTGAAGATAATTGTAAGTACCAAAGCACGATTGATTCGACTCATTGGCGCTTTTTAAGCCCCGACGCTATCGTAATCACAAGCGTATCGATCAGTGCAAAATCAGGAAACATACCTTAAATGTAGACTTTATTAAGCTTGTTATGTACGTACAGCTTGAAACGGATTAGGTGAGATTATTAAGGTGCTTGCATTGGAAATGAGAAAAAACAATGCTGCAACATATGGCATTCTACCCCATCAGGGAGGGTGTGAATGTTCTCGAGCGTGGTAAGCAATTTCTACATGTATGAAAATGCAGACCAAAACACGAGTATAATCGACCTCACAAAAATATGTGTGAGTTGGTTATTGATGGAAAATGGGTTGTTATCAACAGCAACTGCTTTTGGTGTACTTTGTTGAGTGTAGTGCGGGGCGATAGACTGGTATATGGTTTGACACATCAGAATGTGAGATAAATTTGCAAGGAATGTCCTACTACATCCATTGAGGATCCGTCTGATGGTGTAAAACAGAGTTGTCGGGTTGTTATATCCACGCAGGACCTAGCTGTTTGATCGGAAAAGTTTCGTTGCGGCCACTAGAAAAACACTCGACGAGCTCCGCTTCATCTACCAATGGATCGTACTTCAAAGTACGAGAGTTTCTTCTGACGAAAACGGGACCTAGGTGTGTTAACCAAGGTAGTAGGATGTTGTAAATACTGTCGCGATGCGATTTCTGCGGCTATGGTACTTCAATTTAAACTAGAGAGAGCTTCCATAACAACTGTTTCAGTGATTACTAACACCATTTGTTCGGGTAGAAGTCCAAATAAATTCGAAAAGCATGGACAATTTTCCAAAAGTGCCACCAGATATCAGAAGAACATTATGTGGTATTCGCAGCCTTTCGGATGTCGGAAGTTTCCCAAGCACGCTCCACATTATTGGTGCCATTGGCTTGAGTCATGATTAACATTTATCTAATCGACAGCAGATCGAAACATACTCTTCTACCTTTCGCTATATTCTTGTGCAAAAATTTCAATCAAATAAGAAAAACACCATGATTGTCCACTGAGCGGCTCAAACGTTCCTGGTTTTTTTCTATGTCGCTCATTCACCATGTCCATCTTACAGTTTTTTGTCCCCTGCGAAATTTCCGTACTTCTAATCAGTTAAGCCTTCAGACTCGCAGTTCTCTAGGTTGTTTAAAACTTTTAGCATCGTAATGACGTACACCCATGTGATTGTAGGATTTGGGACGTATGCTTCGAATCTGTCCTCGTTTGATTAGGTTTGAAATCCTGTCCCTGAATCGTAGATTCTAATACGCGTGTCTGATCTGGAATTTAATTACAGCATGAATCGGTTACTGACGGTTATGCTTACTCAGGGAGGTGCTTGCCCACGTGAAGCAGTCGCTGTGCATTGCCACGATACAGGAGGAAATGCTCTGGCCAACATCGGTGTTGCTTTGGATCACCACGGCATAAGGGTGGTCGATTCTGCGATCGGTGGCCTCGGAGGGTGTCCGTACGCTGGGCCGGATGCTCCTGGAAATGTAGCGACTGAGGCTGTAGTGCGGTATGTGCTGGACAAAGGTTACATTTTGTCATCTAACCTAAAACTGGAACAGTTAATCGCCGTGAGTTCCGTGCTTTGGGCACTACCCACTTTGGGCCGTTCGTTGTGATGTCTAGTCCATTATTTGAGGGCACTAATAATGAAATGGATCCGGGTCGCAGAACTCAGTGCATTCAACAACGACGTTTTGAATGTCTAGGTATCAAGTAGAGAAAAATGCAAGTACCTAACGTTAAAGGGGGTTCAGATTACTTACGGACCGCCTTATTGCATGCGGTGACGAGTTAATGTTATCAGTACCAATTCCGTCGGAATATATCGAACAATTAAAAAGTTGGATCTGACGCACTAGTGACAGAATGAGAAACAATCCGTGTGGTTCATATAAAATACCTTGAGGGCATGTAAATTCTTGTTTCTAAGGATCCCTGATGTGAGCCATTATAATTATCAGCACACGGAATGAATCGGATATTGTAGCCTCTCATGCCGTAAATTTTTTCTATCACTTATCGAGAACTACAAATGTAGTAAACAATAAACTGAAAAATTCAGTTGTTTTACCTGCATATGGTACACGATAAGTGATGTATCGTTTTTGCGGGCATTGATGAGTAGAGTGCCTAATCGTCGGGCGGAGCATTTTGAGAAACCGTTTTACTGGTGTTTATCCACAACGGGTGTGTTGAGTAGCACGATAGCTAGAGTTCTGGAAGTAGTTATCAGTCCTCCGTCAGAAGCGGAGGTTCACGTGGAATAAGCTATCGTAAACCATATGAGGTTGTTGGACCGGATTGGTAGTCTCCGTTTATTTTTGAAGATGGTGGCTCAATTTTTTCACTGGAGTTGAAAAAACCTTGATTTGACATGGTACGAACAAGTTCCGAGGAGTTGGTCGGAATCGGAGATCATACCGATTTATAAGAAGGGCGACAGATCCTCCTGTGAAAGCCACATGGGAATTAGTTTGGTTAGCAACGCATTTAAACTGGTCACTGGTATTGTCTTGCGCTACCAACTAACACTCGCGAACAGTGCTCGCGCGGAAATCAACCTGGGTTTTTTATAATATGATTACGCGTTAGTGCAATGAAAGGGGTATACTCAATAGTCACAAAGGTCCATCATACTATTAGGGATAACAGGCAGCTAGACATCGAGACTTAAAGCAGAGAATCACATAAGGTCCTAGTGGATGAGATGTTGTAACGAGCGGGATGTCACTGAATTACTGTCTGTCTGGTCGAGGTTGTGTTGATCACATCCCAACTCTTCGACAAATTTTGAAACACAGGTCCACCATCTGTTTTCCTCATTATTAGAAAGTTCCCTTCGATTCAGTCGACTGCATAGTTCTTCGGCGCTGCCTTCTGTTGAAGGGTGTATCAGAGCATGAACTCGCCGTACATGAATACCCCGTTGCCGAGTTCGGGCTAACGGTGATCTTTCATCCGGGAATTGGTGTACATCAGGGTTTCTTCCTCCCCGTTTTATTTTACTTTATGATTGAAATGGCCCAAAGGCCGCCCTTTTGTCGTGTGAGGATTGCAGCTCCGAACTTTGCCCGGGTGGACAAGTGTAGGACCTTGAACATGCGAACAACATAGCACTTCTCACTGAGGATCCAGGTAAGTTCTAAGCTTTTCTGGACAACTGCATGGCAATGTTCCGTATACGTTTTGAATCTTCACAGAGTTAGATGCTGTGGGTCAAACACAACCTCTCAATATCTGAGGTAGCTAAAGTCCAAGTAGATAATTCCAGTTATCTGGGCAGCTGCATTTCACCCAGAGGTCGTATATCGGATCAAGTGTCTGTGTGTATACAGAAGGCTCATTTGGCATTTCCCAAACTGAGTCATCTGTGGCGTCAACATAATATCAGTTTATCTACCAAGGGTCGAGTGTACGCTGCAGCAGTCAGGTCAGTTATTCTGTATCGTTCAGAAAGATGGCTACTATGAGTGGAGGACATATATACCGAGCGACAGGACAGCTGATCGATGGCGTGAATCGATAGATGAGAGGCGAATCCTGCCAGCGGCATTTAAGCCTCAAGGCGTAGTCACCCACACCAATCGAACGAATGCGCTGTGTGCAGTAAGTGGTTACATGGGCTAACTACCTATATTTCGTTGTTTTTCACAAGTAAAACGAGATAGTTCGCAGGTGTAACCGAGTTCTCACTAGAGTTAGCTGAACAGTTTGAAAACAACTTGTAGTTCTCTTCTTGTTTTCATACTGTTGTTTTTTCGACAGTTAACAACCAAAACCGCTGCACCTAGTGCGCGGCTAATGTTTGTTTGAACTTTACCGAACTGAGTAGTCACTATACTGCTGTTGCTAGACTGTTTTGGCTCAGTGTCACGTCAGACTAAATTAGGTGGATAAGCGTTGTTGTCTCTTGCGTAAAATATTTAATAAATGTTTGCCATAGTGTCTTTTTGAAACGTAGCCTGACACGAGCGATGGTCGTCAAAACTTTGTGCTACAATGTGCATGTGATAATCAGTGTGTGAACTTGGTTGCACTCTAACTCAATCATTCTATTTTTTGTCTTCGTATGTCGGTCAGACTGGTGTATGGATCCGCTCAAAGCTCCAAAAATCATCATGGTCTTCCAATTGAGAAGATGAGGACCGAAGGAAAACCTCAACATTTGTTCTTCTCTCTTGGCTATCTCCATTCCTCTGATTTTTCCACTATTTTTCCATTGATTATGCGGCTGTTCCGCATGACCGTGTTTATCACATCAAAACCGGTAATACATTTGACTTTAGATAATTGCTCTGCGCCTTGTCACGTCAATGAGTGATAGTCTCTGCCAGTAACTCATTACTTCGCCTGAGAGGCCTCTAAAAATTGAGTAATTGCCTGGAAGTCAGCGTCGAGATGCGACGTTTAGAATACCAGCAACACAAAACGAACAAGATGGGAAATACAGAGCGAAGCTACACAGTAATCGGCCTGCACAAGGACTATTCGGTGATGTTTGAAAGTATTTTGATCAATCATCTTTTGCTGAGAAGATGACACGATTACTCAAATCCGTGACACTGATTCTGGGGAGAACATGATTATTCTCAAAACTCAGTTTAAGGAGTATTTCTATGGTTTTATTGTTGCCCATTGCTTTGTGTCATTCTGATATCCTCCTACACCATTTCCTCTTTGGTCCATTTTATTACTCCAGCCATAGATCACTGGTAATAGTGGCGCTGATTGCACAGTTCACCTTCATTCGAGTCAAAATATAACGCTGAGCTAAATATCGTGATTATCAATTTATTTCCCACGTTGATTTGGGTCCTCTAGCTCGAGAATAGCGGGGTTAACGGTTGATACGACGATCGACCTTGATATTCGTTTGCCCGTTACCCATTTCAAGTTCATTAATTCTTCCGTAATTTTTGTATCTCGTTACTAGGTAGTTACTGTGCATCTTTGAACACAGAGACATTCAGGCGTCAGGTCTTATGATGAAGCTTCAGCCACCTCGTATAGCCACCAGTAAGGAGAGATGATCTTAAAGTTATCAGGATAAACGAATACACAAAGCCCTGTCGTGATTTGATCCTACCATGTTTTCTGAACACACGTCAGTAGAGTGAAGTCGCGACGCTTTTAAATGTTAGATTCATGTAGCATAGATACGAAGCATGCTGTCTTCTACTATGATACTTTCAGCCCACTCCACCCCTCAAGCTATCCAGATCCATGTTTGATTGGCCTCAAGTTATCATCTTTGGAATCAACTAGAAAAGCACATTACTCTCACTCAAGCACTGCAATCGTGGGCAGTCAATGTGAAATTGAACGACAATTTACTGCAAAGATTAATACCAGTTAGCAAGGTTATATGTCTTATCCACAGAGATATGTACAACGTGTTCATATGAAGTGGATCCACTTCCAAGAGGGTGTGATTCCTCTGCCATTGAAAACCAAAGCACCAGTTAGATTTTGACGTGCGGCGAAAAAACGCGTTGGATTGTCTGCTAGAGTTGATAACGGATACCGAGATCTGCTAATTCAGCTTCAAAACAGGCTCATTTTACTGTGAAATGATGGGATAAAACTACCGACGCACTCCTATGGCACTGTTAACTGCGAAATATATATTTACCGAAATGTTGAACAATACGTCGTGCAAATTGATGTTACTGACTTGTTTCCAGACATGAAATAGGGAGAATGATGTGGCGAACACGTTGTCGTTTAGGCAGTGTACAAGAAAATACAAATACGACCCACTAGGGGTTCACTGATTGTGGTGCTTCTGATTTCTACTGCTCAAAGGGAAATCGAAACAACCACCAGTAAAAAAAGTACGGGGCGAGCTACAACTGGCAGTATTAGTTCGTTGAGTAAGCTGTTGTGACACAAGAACTTAACTTTTTTTTACCATTCATAACCAGTCGATTGAAGGAACTGATGCTAGACTGAATTCCTGACCTATTAAACAGCCTGGTCAACATTTGCTAAACCAGTTGCGTACCTCAATGGATGACTGGTGAGGATCACCCAAATGTCCTAAAGGGTTTCTAAGATAGACTGATGTGTCCAGCCGAAGGAGATTATAATACCGCACTGGTTAAATCGGGTCTGGGTGAGTGAAAGTACTTTGAAGTACTTTTGTCCTGACCATAAGCCACCTTATGTGACTGAGAAGAAAGATTCGAAAAGGAAGATTGCCTATAGCTAGAGGAGTGCCCGATACCGGAGTTGGCCGCTTTTGGGGAGCGGTTGTCAATCCTAAGCAAATCTAAGTAAAGATACCTATTCGTAAACAAGGCGCGCCTAAGCTCTAAGCTCGCGATTGTATTTTATTGAGTTTGGTGTCTGCGAAGCCGCTACACAACCAGCAGTACAATAAAGAACGGGGCGAGCTGCAACTGGCAGTATCAGTTCGTTGAGTAAGCTGTTGTGACACAAGAACCTAACTTTTTTTACCATTCATAACCAAGTATTACTGCCTACAACCATCGGTTGGATGAGTCTCGTGGACACTACGTAGAAATCCAACACGCCCAAATGGCTAAGTGCACTGGTTCGGCTTTTAATACCTTCTTTCCATGTTACAGATTTGTCATTTGAATGCGTTCATATAGTCTCTGATAAGTAGTATACTGTCATTCAGTCAAACTAACCAACAATCTGACTACGGGTTAAGTCGTTATAGTTTTTGCTTTCATGATTGTAATAATTTCAATCAAAAGGCTTTATCAAGCTGTTAAAAATGGATGGACAGAAATCACTAGTTTGTTCTGGCGAAATACACACTGATTGCAATAATTGCGTGCATGATCGTGTTCACGAATAGTGTAACGTTGGGCATGGTTCGTGCGACCTCATAGCGGAGCAGTCCTCCGATCGCTATGGCAAAATATATCAGGTGACGTTGGAGAATGTTGGAGAAGTCGGCAAGTTCAATTTTGCTTCACAATTCTCCTATCATTTTTGCCAGTCTTCTAGTGAAAGATTTTGTCATTTCGCAAACCAACAAAGTTATATTACGATCCAGTGGTATCTCCCGCCCTAAACTGATCACTATCCTAACGGAGTAGCACTTTGCTTCGAGAGACATACCTCGCAGTAACACCACAACTTGATATAACTTGACGAAATTGAAAAGTGGCAATCTGTTGGAGTTAACAACAAAGTAGTTCTGGTGAACAACGAAGTCGCCCTAATTGCAGAATAATGAATAAATTTCAAGAAACGAAGTAGGTTGAAGTCAATGGAGGTGCGTTCGGCCGAAAAAGGCCGCAAGCGAAGGCATGTGGAAATTTATTGGAATCGGACAAGGAAATTCAGCTTGTCGTATTCAGAAACCCCGTTAAACTGATTTAGTCCAATTCCCATGGTTTCTAGTATAATCTTGTCTTGTATTTATCAAATGGTTTGTTCGCATCCCACAGTTTCACGGCTAAATTCCACGCCGACCAGCATCCTTGCGCCTCCCCACCCGCGTGATAGTTTATTTGTCCAGTCATAATGCAACTCTTACTCTTGTTTCTATGACAGGGGTTGATTAACCTTAGTTATCATTTGTCTAGTTGTTGATCTTATTTGTTCGCTTTTATCGCTTTCGTAACCTCCCCCCCCCGGTTTCGGAGTGGTTCACCAGTATCCACGACCCGTTCTGTTATCATATCGTAATTGCTTGGGTTACTTGGCGAGGCCTAAACGTTTGGACGTAATAATTTTTTCTCTCAATCTGCCTTGTCCGGGCGAGTGACTGAATCTAGCCGTCTCCCTATGATCTTGCACTTTCTGATGGCCATGTCCTTCCGTTTGCTGTTCACCGCACTTGTGCATGTGTTCTCTCAGACTACTCTTCTGACCGTCTATTGGTCAAAATATCCCCATAAATAAGGATCTTCTGGTAGAATTTTATTGTTTACTAACACAGCGTAGTCAAAATCGTTGGTGGGTTGTCGACGTTTCGGTTACCACGGGTAAACGTTTTTCGATAATGACCTTCTTTTTACACCACTTGAATCGCTCCCGCATTGCCTTCTCGAACGTTTCCTGTCTATTGTTGTCTGGGCGCTTTGAAGCCTCTATTGAATATTTTGACTCTGTGGTCGGTTTGCCCACAATTTGAGGTATGTTATTGTTTGATCATCTGTTCTATAGTACACGTAGTAAAGCGAGTCTGTGTTTCCCGCCTTGAGACTTCGAGTTCGTTCATCTGCGGGTCACTCAGTTACTGGAGGACAATCCTGTACAGTATATCACATGAAGTTTGGAAACCATTCAAGGCCACTGACTACAATGCATTCGTACACTGGTGACAATAAGCGGAAGGATTTTATATAGGAAATAAATCAGAACTTTGTTTACTCTTCACTGAACCTGAAGTTTATACAATCGATGCTTGGGATTGGAAAAACTGACGATAAGCGGATTCATATCGTCACAACTATAACAAAATTTGGCATTTCTCTCAGTGTTTCGGCCGTTTGTCTGAGAGGGTTATGACAAGCATATATGTAGTTTGTGTTGACCATCTAGGTTTATTTACAATTCAACGAACCAGGTAAAAATGAACAAACTATTTATTTCAATTAGGATTGCAATACAGTGGATGATCAAAACATAACAAACTTCGAACCAATGGTCTCGCACCTGATCTGCCGTCGCGCTCCCCAGTCATTTTACCGTTGAAGCAGCTTCGTTTCTGGCTAATTTAACAGTGTGCGGACAGGAATGCTAACCTTTACCACGCATACATTGAGATGAATGGGTGTGGACCGCTGCTCGTTCGACAGTGCCTTTTACCTCCCGATCAGTGTCCTATCTCTACATTCCGTACTGTTACCGATATGTTCAAATTGGTAAAAATAAATTGACGTTGGCATTCGGAACTGCTTGCTTTCAAAACAAGTCGATTACAACTTTTCTCGGTCTTGTCAGGCTAAGTCAATTTGTCGTATTTCCGCGAGATTTTTCACGTGAAGGAAAGTGCTCCTCCGTTAGGAAAGTGATTAGTTTAGGGCGGGAGATACCACTGGATCGTGATGTAACTTGAATGAATAAAGGAACAGTAAAGCCGAATTGAATCTGCCGACTTGTCCAAGATTCTTCAAAGTCACCTGTTATGCTTGCTTGATTATATTTAT